AAGAGAACAAATGTGCCAGATATAATGAATAAAATGCACGCGGAAATCAACCTGGAACTGAAATTCTCGTGCCAGCCATAGATGTGCTGGAACTCAGTGAGACAGTAGGATCGAATTTATAATGGTGAACCTGGCATGAACTCACCCTTTTTCTTTCAGGATTAAAGAAAAAGGTAAATTTTGAGGGCAAAATCGTTCGAACTCCACTATCTATCCAACAATAATGGAGACAGAAAATATTAAATTCAACCATCTCAAGTGATCAGTTTTCAGAATCACCTTTATCAACATCGTTAGTCCGACCATGAGTTTAATCATGCAGAAGTCTTTAACGGTAACATCAACCAAGCTTGAAAAACTCAGGACAGTTATTTTCATCCACGAGCAGCCATATTGAAGAATACACATTTTGAACTCAACTACTAGAGCAAGTATGGTACACAGTAAAGTACAGGACTGGACAGGACAACAGGTAAGATTTTAGGTTTATGTTTCCTCTCATACTGCCCAGTGCCATATAGAATTCACACAACCAAACAAGCCATTACTGTACAGATATACAAGGGTGCCGATTTGATTGAGTCCCTAGCATGGATAATTTGGTGAATAAGAGATCCTTCTTTATTTTCTTCCTTCAACTGAAAATAAGAAATTGAAGATAGAAGAGACTGGGGATTGGCTTATTATGAAGTGTAACAGGTACTTCAATGACTGATGGCTTCCATGGCAACCCGAACGAGGCGTAATAATCCATCCACATCTTGGAAATTAAAATCAAGTGCCATTTTGACAGAAGAGATACCCTCTCTAGGGTGTGTTTCTCCAAGTCTTGGATTAGCAGCTGCAAAAGCAATTCTAGATTTCCTGGAGGCTTCCATGGCAAAACTAACATCCTGTGCCTATATAAATTAAAACTCAATAATAAGTAGGAATTTGACGTAAGACATAAATAAATTCCCCCGTCCCCACCCCCACCACCAAAAAGATATCCTGGGGAAAGAACATAGAGAAGTGCCATGCCATGCTGTGCAGGTTTGCAACTTCGTACTGCAAGTGCATGGATGTGAAATTGACGGGGTTGGCGGCCAGACAAACCCTACATGTTTCCAGCTACGAAGTATGAAAACTATAAACCAGATATGGTCATAACGGTTTGGATTCATTGTTATGGATTAAGTCGTAATAAAAAAATGAATATAAGCTAAGTGTGAACAAGCATATTTTTATAGTGGTTCAACCTCAATGTGAGAGCTATGTCCACATACCGCAGCTAATGGTTAGGATAAAGTTCAGTAAATATCTATATTCCAAAATATGGAGGGGAAACCATCTTAAATATTTTAAAGATATACTTAAGCAAATGCTCTTTATGCAAATTACTGTGAGAAATCTCTTGCTGCAGCTGAGTAATTGATTGTACTTACATAGTTCAGTAGCCTAGCGAAACTAGAACGATTTTTTGTAGTGATAACATGGCTTCCAGCAACTTGAGGTGAACTAACACCTTTGGCCAAGGCAGCCTTGTCTACAGTTGATTGGTTGTTCACATTGTCAACATCAGAAGCCGAAGAGGAAGGAGATTCACCTAAATGGTAATATTGAAAATCATAACTATTGTGAAAGTTGTCTCGTAAAAGCAAAGCAAACATTTCATTTCTACCCAGCTACAATTACAGGAAAATTGAGACTTCCATTGAATAATAGCAGCCTTCGGAAACACACTTCGATTATCAATAATCCTTACGCTGCTTACTAATGCTAACACAGATAAGCATCTAGTTCAGACATATCATTTGAGAGTCCAGTGTTTAACACTTTTGTCTGGAAGCAAAGCATAAAACTAGTCATCATTTCTGTTTTTCAAAGGAAAATTCAGTTCAGTTTTTAAGCAGTGTCGTGGTACAGAATTGTTGCAGCACAGCGGTTTGCGTCATTACGAGAATAACAAAAAGCATAAAAAAAGTCATAATACTAAGTTATGTCCTCCATAGGAATACAAGCATGCTAATCTTACAATTAAATACTTACTTTGGTTTCCTATGATAAGAAATTTCTCACAACTTACCAGGTGGAACAATTTGTAGAACAGTTTGCAACTCATTCCGATCCACACTTGCACTAGTATGTGAAGAATAAATTACTTTCATGTATGCAACCTCCATGCATTTATAGGCCAGAGCGGCAGCAGCCATGTCTTTCAACTTTTCATATTCATGAGCACAAAACCTATAAAAAAAAACAATTAGTCGACACTCGACAGGGAAGGAGCTGCACAAGACTTTAAAAGTTTCCATCAAAGAAGTAATTAGAATATACTAAAATGACAAATAAACAATCTGAAACATCAGATTTAAAACCCAAGCATTCAATGTGTTTTCACAATTCCCCATTAAGAGAGAACATGGAAATATAACACAAAGTGCCCAGCGAAATAAACACATTGGAGACAATTTATAAACTCACAAGCTTCAACCTTAAACACGAATCAACACACAATATAAATATATAAAAAATTGAATTACGTGATGCATAGACATCTCAGATAAATCCTTTGCGGGTAACTTACTCGCAGAGTTTTGCTGTGCTACTATACATTTGAGTTGACTGAATTGTCTCATTATNATCAACAGATGATACTCCCAACAAAGTACTAGCAGGATAATTTAGCAGATTCTGTCGACTCTCAGAAGCAGGGACAGGAGCTGGAGTAGGAGCAAGATGGTAGGAGGCACGTAAAGCGTTTGTAGTCTGCTCCTCAGGGATACTACAGTGGTTCATTCCAGGCCTAGAGAAATGTTCAAACAATAAATTATTAAGAACCAAATACTCTTAAGCATTCACAGAGAGAGAGAGAGAGAGAGAGCAGATATTTCTTGTTACAAAACAAACTAAGCCTAATTCCATATATATTTGAAATAAATTGTCTTTATTTTTACTAGCCAATAACTAGTTTATAAATAAAACATTGACAGAACTTACAGCCAGGTGAGCATCCTACAACGCCATTTATCAGGAAGACTCAGAGGATTTGTACCAAGTGGAAGAAGTCTCCACTGTTGACACCTATCACACTCGACCCAATCTTCTTGGACGAAAGGAGCCACTCCTGCAGGGGTAGCATCAGAATTGGGCCCACTTACAGTTTGAGGAGCCACACTTGAAGCCACTGCAGTGTAGGGAGATGGCTTTTTGATTTTTTTAACATCACTTTTCTCCTTCAATGCACTGTGACGGTCAACAATACTTCTTTTCTCAACAAGCTGAGAGTCCTTCAGCCTTCTCGAGAAAGGCATTTCTCCTGAAATTGATTCACTATCTTCTTCCCCAGGCTCTAGGTCTCCAAAGAAGTCCTTATATCTGTCTCCAGGCTTTCCAGGGTTCCTCTTATAATCTAATGAACCATTTTTAGACGTAAGATTGTTACCAAGAGAGCTCTTCCTATTTTTAGGCATCAAAGAAGAATCTAGCATTAACTGATCTTTTGAAACATCTGAATCTTGAGAACCTCCACTCCGAACTCCTTTTGATTTCTTCCTCGACCCTGAAGATAAGTACTCCTTTCCAGGAGATAGTTTCACACCTTCCTCAGTACGGGATGCTTTTTTCTGAACTGCTAATTGTTTTGAGGGATTGGTGGCTTCAGCACCAGGATCCTTACTCCCCTTACAGAAATTCGACTCGAAACGAGATTTTTCTGCTTTGTGGCCATCATCCTGTGGACAAACTGCGCTGTCAATCGAGAAATTTGCTTTTTTACTTTCCCAAACCTTGTCAGGTAGATGCAGATCTTCATCGTACTTCTCAACCCTGTCAGTATCTTGAGCAAACAAACTCCCCAATAGTTCCTTCTTTATCGGTCCAGAGCAGGTTTTGTCCTTCATGACATCTTTAGCAGAAATATCATCTTCCTTAGAAATAACTTTTGTACGATCACCAACACCATGCTGCGAACTCAATAAAAGTGGGAGTTTAAGAGTATTAGAAACAAGTTCCTCACAACCTAAAATGTCAATATCAGTTTCCTTCTTCAGCAGACTATCATTGTTCTTCTCATTTATCAATTGTGTGGGAAATGCTCGATCTTTTTCAGATGACTTCCATTTCTTCTGGTTTAAAACTTTTTTATTACTCCTAGAAAGAGACTCACTGAATAACATTCCAGAACTTGCCAATGTTTCTTTGTGCAAGAGTTTGGATTCACTCTCCCCACTAAGCTTTCCTTTTTCTAAGAGATCATCAGATAGAGGGGATAAAAGAAGGCTCCCGTGGGCAGGAAATGATGTCATAATCTGTTCCGAAATGGTAATAGAACAGTGTCAAAAAAAGAAAAGAAAAGAAAGAATCAGAAAGTTGAGCTCAATGTAGAGGGGCCATCATTCACCTGAAGAATACTAGTAGGAGACTCATCCTGCAAATCCTGATTGTTAAAACATAAACCTTCGCTAACTACAGGATTATCATCTAATGAAGATGACGGAGATACATCCAGACCAAGTCCACTGTAGATTTCAGCATTCTGTCTTGTCAACAAATTTTCAGCACCAACTTTTATTCGGACTTTCAAAGTTCTCTGTTCAGAATGATTGCCAGTCTTCTTAACAAGGCCAACATTTGAAGTGAGCTCTTCAGCATGTGTAGAAGCGGTGGAGACCTCCCTTTCCACAGAATCGTGGATGGTTGCAGTCTTTGCTGAAGTTGCTCCAGGCCTTTCAGGGAGAGAGGCACTTGTCGAAGCGAATGAGTTTTCCCTACCACCCTGTATTGAGTACAGCTCAAAGTGCTCAAGTAAACTAGATTTTTCATATCAGGCGAGTCAAGTCCTAGTTCCTTTGTGCAGTAAAACATCGCGAATAGAAAAAAATCTAGATATTCAATCTTAAAAAAATTCTACCTCTGAATGCAGATTGTTTGAGAATTTGGGCCCACTATAGTTATGAACTCCAGGTGAACTCCTTAAACGAGACCAAGAAGGAGACCGTTGATAAGTTGGTAGAAATGAACCATAGCCACCGAATTTCGCCCCTGTTATACAATTAAAGTCCCGATCAGTACTTCATACTCTAAGTCACATTAGTCTGACCCTTGAATTTTGTGTGTTCAGTCACTCTTTTTGTCAACTCACCCAAATTCTCAGCCGAAACTCCTCCTTCAAAATCCTTCTGAAAATGTCCAAGAACATTTTGGAGCTTCTCGCCCTTCAAAATTGAGCAAACTAACACATCAGATCATTATCTAAAGTCCTATTCTAGCTCTCTTTGGAAAGCTCGAAAGCTAGACACTGTTTAGCAGACGTCATAAATAGTGCCCAAACGCAGAATTCGTCTGGCTCTTATCAAAATCTGAACAAGATTCCTTTAAATCCAAAACAAAGTACAGTATAGAATGCATTTTACTAACATATTCTTGTTACAAAATTATTAGGCATGAGTAACTAACAACACTTGTGCTCTTCAATGAATTAAACAAATTAATTATAAAACTGTATGTATCTATCTAAACAGAAATAGCAGGTATTTGACAACTGAACAGGATATAATTCATAAATTAAACTACATGCAGCTTTAGAAAACTGAAAAACTGAATTACGAAGAAAGATTAAAAAATAAAATGAACTTACAATGTAAGAGAGTGCAATATCAGGGTCAAGGGTGGAATCGTCACCATCATTCTGAAAACAGCCAGCCTCTCCTTCTTCAAGTTCGTTTTCTTCCATTTCTAACCCTAAACCTGACAAATTTCCCCCATCTATACTACCCACAGAAATCATCAAAACTGAAAAATAACAATAATAGAAGATAAATAGCAAAAAAGTAAGCTATTAACAACCCTCGAGTCACCGTTTACTTTACTCTAAAAACCGCTTCTAAAACCAAAAATCTCAAAGATCCATTTGACAAAATCGAAAACCCAGAAAACCCACCAAGGATATCACCTGATCGGATATATACTACAATTTATTAACGTACTTAACACAGATTTATTGCATATATGCGGTATTATATTTATGTGTATACACAGATACACAAGTTAAAAAAAAATAAAAATAAAAAATAAAAAAGAAGAAGAAGAAGAAATAGGAATAATTTGAATGTAAAGTTACGATCTCTGATTTGGAATTTTTAGAGCTTGGATCGTGTCGTGCGATCTCTGAAGCTCAAACAGAAAGAGAGAGAGAGAGAGAGACTTTTCCCCAAAATAATTATTTTGGTGCACAGGTGCCGCGTTTATTCTATTTTTGTTCCTTATTAGAAATTGGAAATTTACTGCCCTTTTTTTTTCTAAAAAATAATTACTTCCTTTCAAGATGAGGCTGGGTTTGGGGGGATGGGGTGGCGTGGGGCTTTTTTGGGCGACGGTGGGTTGTTGAATTCTGTTTCAACACATAACGACATTGTCTGAAAGGATAGCTATAAAACATATCAATACCGCGTGATAACCAGACCTTAGTTGATTAACATGTTTGGCAGATCATAAAAATAAGCACAATTACTTAAAAGTAATTTTTAATCCCAATATTAACTAAAAGAATTTCCTATTTTATAACTTATATTCACTTGTAAGTGAATTTACTCAAAAGTAAACTTATTAAGACCCAGTTTGGTAACCTTTTTTTCAAAATGCATTTTTCTCTCTTTTCTTTTCAATCACGCATTCTTTATTAAAATAATATTGCATGTAAATCAAAAACTTTTCTTTATTTCTCAACCACACATTTCACATCAATTTACTATTCTAAAATGCATTATTACATAAAAATACCTATCAAACACACCTAAGCTTCGCTAAATATGGATTACATTCGCGCGTATGAATATAATTACATTCTAGCATAAAAGTTTAAAAAATTTTACTGATGACAAAATTCCATTCCGTCATAAATGAGGAAGTTATGATGGTCCTCACGCTGAATTTTTTCAATCAACTCCAAATTTTTTTATTTTATTTTATTTTTATATTTTAAATAAAAATAATTTAAAAATAAATAAAATACTTAAACAGGACGAAATATTAAAATGTTCTAATCCCTGCCTTACCCCTCAAAATCCTGACGAGTGAGGATGAGGGCAAGGTAAGTTACTTATAAGTTATAACACGTTCTAGCTTAATCGTGTGAACTCTTTTATCAATAAAGTATTATGGATATAACAAAACAATCATGTCTAACTCATGAAAACTATCGAGTTAAAATTGATAAATGATGGTGTTAAACGTGATTTCTTATTCACGTATAATGTGTGTTTCGTATTAATCATGATAATCTCAACGACAAACCTCTTGGAAATTCATTCAAATATATGATAATAATTGTCCATACTCGTGATAAAATTGATGATGAAAGGGGTGAACGTGATTTCTTATTCATACATAATGCTCAATATTAATCACGAGAATCTCGACAATAAATACTTTGTATGATCGTAAAAAAATACATTAACAATTAATCTCTAGGCGTTGTTGATGAGATTCTCAAATAATCTTTAATATTTTTTTTCTTATTTTGAAGAGCAACCAAAAAAAAAAAAAAAGTTTATTTTTACATTTTTTTTTTTTTTTTTTTTTTTGGGTTTTTTTTGTT